TGCGTGCGTGCCCAAGATCCCGAGAGGAGAATGGAGGAGAAGGGATTGCGGCGTGACCATCCTCCCTGGGGGGTGATTTCTCACTTTCTGTCTCTCTGTCTGGTGAGCACACACGCCCTATAGCAAAAAGAAAAAAAAAAAAAAACTATTACCGTATACCTAATTTTTACTATGGGGCATGTGTGCTCACTGGAAAAACACAGAAACAGAGAGACAGAAAGCAAGACATCACCCCCTGGGGATGGCCATGCTGCAACCTCTCCTCCTCCACTCTCCTCTTGGGATTTTGGGCATGTATGCACACGCACCCAGCTTGAGTTTCAAGCTACCAGATCTGGGACTCAATTATGTGGGAGTCCAGAGGCGCAACCATTACCCCACCTGCTGGGCCTAACCATATGCCTCATTTTCCATAGAGAACTTTACATTCTTGTTAATCTTTTTAATAGCACCCGTTCCATTTGCAGTAGGTTTCGCAGGCTAGCACGCGTTACTGCCTACTTCTCTAATGGAGGTGTTGAACCAAATGTTGGAACTCCAAAAAAAAAATAGAAGAAGAAGAAGAGGAAGAAGAAAGAAAGAAAGACAGAACTCAGTTTTCAAAGCTTTGAAACTACAGAGGTGGGGCAGGAACTGGGACGTTCTGAGTCCACTTCTGGGGACAAAGAACACCTGGACGTCAGCCATCCCTGCCTACTGGCTGGTCTCTGGACCTTGGCCCATTTATCTGCGTGAGCATCTCAGTTACTGTACGTTCTGCAGCTACCTACCCACAAAGCCTGCCATTGACAATCCCAGGTAGCTGGCACGGGACGAGACAAATCCCTCTCTAGGTAGGTTCTCCAGATTGCAGGGACACCTATGGGCTGTATCTGAGTTCTCCCAGCTATTCAGTTACTGCCACAGCCATGATTCACTTACTAGCTGAATTAAGAAAACAAGGACAGTAGCGTTAAATCCGGCCTGGAATTCACTTCTACCCGGTCCAAGACTCTCAGAGGTGGAGACAGAGACCCCGTTTGAGTCTCCGAGATCCCGCATCAAGGCAACTCACCTGCCTGGGACCTGCTAGTGGAGTCACTGTTTTGCAAATGACTGAAGCCAGGAGCTGTAACCACAGTCTTCAGGCCAGAGACAGAGTGAAGAAATGCTTCTTTAATTGCGAGCCAGCCAGAAAATGTCTTTGTTTTTTATTGTTCAACTTTATAGCATTAGTAAAGTATATTTATTAAAGATATATTATATGTTAGTTTAGTTTAGTTTTAGTTTTTCCTATAGGGTGTGTGCACTTGCCAGGGAGAGGCAGAAAAAAAGAGAGAGAGGGAAAGTGAGAACTCACCCTCCAGCGGGGGGCGGGGGGTGGCCACACCACAGTCCCTTCTCCTCCACACTCCTCTCTGGATTTTTTTTTTTTTGGGGGGAGGGGAGGGTTAAGCTACAGGGCAAAAAAAGAAAGAGACAGAGAGATAGAAGGTGAGAAATCACCCCCCAGGGTGTATGGCCACGCCACAATCCCTTCTCCTCCATTCTCTTCTCGGGATCTTGGGCACGCACACACATGTGCCCAGCGTGAGTTTAAGCCACTGGGTCCGGGACACGAACCACGGTGGACTACGTGGGAGTCCAGCGGCATAGCCATTACACTAACTGCTGGTCCCGAGACAGGGAATCTTCATGCCAGGAACCACCCCAGCCTCAGCCCGCAGGTTGTGGATAAACACACACCCGAGGTGTACAGAGGGACCTCCCTGTGTGTCTTTAGCGGCACTAAATGTCACCTCATTGCGGTGTCACTGCAGCTGGCCCACTGAAACTTGATGGCTTGCTAAAAGTTCTATGAATTCTTCTTTTAATAAGAGGATTCTATGCACTGATTAAAACATTATCTGTATCTGGCCAGCTGATGATGGGGTGGTGAAGGTGGCTGGCTCCCACATAACTGATGGTACTGTTCAAGTCCTGGACCTGAAAGCGTGTAAAACACACCAGGTGTGTGCGTGTGCATGCTCAGAATCTTGAGGAGAATGGAGGAGAAGGGATTGTGGTGTGGCCATCCCTCCTGGGGGGTGATTTCTCGCCTTCTGTCTGTCTTTCCAGTGAATGTACACACCCTATAGCAAAAACCTCTCTTAAAAAAAAAAAATATATATATATATACACACACACACATATATATACATATATATACACACACACACATATGTGTGTTTATTTATCTATGGTTGACTTATAGGACAGGATATTATCCAGTCACCCATAAAGAATGAGTTAGAGGACTCTTGATTAAACTGGAGAGATTTCTGCAAGGTTCTGCTGAGAACAGAACGATGCAGAAATGTACCAGGTGTCCCCACGTCCCTCCAGACGCATGCTCTCCCCTCGGCACTCTGCTCGCTGTCCCAGGTACAGGCAACATCAATAGCTGCTCTTGACTATTGAGGTGGACCAACCACAAGCCTTGGAAGGAGACTTTCGAGCAGGAGAGTGAGTTGGGCATATTCCCCCACCTCTCTCCCTACAGGGCTCCTGCATTCTCTCACCAGACTGCATAGCCGTATCCTCCTCGTTCAACTAGTCCCTCCCTTGTGACTCTTCCCGGGCCTCAGAGTGGTAATATCTGCTTCGCGAGGCCCGGATTCCCTATTGCCCTTGTGCTTCTCTATAACCTGTGCAGTTAGTACTGTGTGTGTGTGTGTGTGTGTGTGCATGACTTGTCAGAGGGTACACGCACTTCCAGGGAGCGAGAAAGTGAGAAAAAGAGTCTCCCTGCTCCAGGGGAATGATTAGACCGCAATCTCTTCTCCCCCGTTTCTCCCTCCGTTGGGGATTTTGGGCATAAACACACATGTGCCAGGCGTGTTTTCAAGCCCCTGCACCTGGGACTCGAACCTCATGGTTAGTCATGTGAGACCCAGCCGCCTTAACTACCACAGACTGCTGGCCCACCAATTCTTCACTGGACCTTCCTCCAAGTATCCAGATGTGAACAAACCATCTGTGCCCTGCTGACACCCTGAACCATGTGAGAAGAAACCTTGACTAAGAAGAGTAGAGAGACAGACCAGGGAGGTTTGTCACAGGGTTTTATTTCTGAAGGGTCAGAGAGCCTTGGCTATATATATTTTTTAAATTGTTTTATTAAACTTTAATTCATTTATTTTATTTTATTTTATTTATTTGTTTTGAAGAGGTTTTTGCTATATAGGGCACATGCACTCGCCAGACAGACAGAGAGAGACATAGAGACAGAAAGCAAGAAATCACCTCCCAGGGAGGATGGCCACGCTGCAATCCCTTCTCCTTCATTCTCGTCTTTGGATCTTGGGGACGCACGCACACGCACCCAGCGTGAGTTTAAACCACTGGATCCGGGACACGAACCGTGGTCGACTACGTGGGAGTCCAGCAACATAGCCATTACGCTAACTGCTGGTCCCATAAACTTTAATTAATTAATTATAATCTGACGAGAGAGAGAAAGTGAGAAAGCAAACCACCACGTCTGGGACTCGAACCACGGTCAGCCATGTGGGAGTCCCGCGCTCTTAACCACCAAGCCACCTGCCAGCCCTGAGGCTTGGCTTTATATTGACAAGCTCATAAAGTTAACAGCCAGGTCCTGTTTCAAAGGCATACCTCCTTCTTCAAAGGAAGACACGGGCAGAGAGCTCTCGGCTGGCCTCTGCAGTTGGGGATGTGACAGGTGACCTCACCAGGATTGCTTTAGGTGTTCTAGAACTTGTGTTTCCAGTTTGCCAGACACAGTCCAGGTGTGTCCAGGGCTGCATTGGCAAGTGGTGGCCCGAGCCCGGAGCTGGCAGAAAATTAGACACAGAGGCCAATGCAGGAGAGGGAGCGAAGGCCAGGACCTCAGTGAACCCGGACACGCTCAGCGCACCAAGCCCGGCAGGCGCCAAACTCGTGGGTGTTTTCTTAAACTTTGCAAAGCTCTGTGTGACCTGGCCCCCTCACCTTGCCCATCCCCTCCCTCGCCTCTCTGTAGGTCACTGATTTGCGGGAGGCTCTGCCTTGCAGGCTCTTTCCTTTTCCTGGAATGCTACGCAGTTGTTCTGCTCTGACAGAGTGCTGACCTGTCACCTTCCCCAGCTCTTTCCTCCCCTGGCTCGGTCCTTGTCATCAGATCTCATCTCTAACACCACTTCCTCAGCAGGCCAACCGCTCAGCTCAAGCCAGTCCCCGGACTTCTCTTTCGGGCCGCCACCACCTTTTAAAATACATTGAAGTGGGGACCAGCAGATGGCATAACGGTGTAGGGGTTAAGGGGGCACTGGATGCTCACATGGCTGACTGCAGTTCGAGTCCTGGACCTGGCTTCCTCACTTTCCCTCTCACTCTCATGTTCCATCCTTCTCTGGTCAAATTTTTTAAAAAGTAAATAAAAAATTTAAATAAAATAATTCTTTAAAAGGAGGGGTTTTTTTTGGGTTTTTTTTGTTTGTTTGTTTGTTTGTTTTTTCCTAAAAAAAATACATCGAAGTGGGGACCAGCAGATGGCATAATGGTTACATTGCTGGACTCCCATGTAGCTGACTGTGATTTGAGTCTTAAACCTGGTGGCTTAAACTCACGCCAGATGCATATGCGTGTGTGCCCAAGATCCCAAGAGGAGAATGGAGGAGAAGGGATTGCGGCGTGGCCATCGCCCCTGGGGGGTGATTTCTCGCTTTCTGTCTCTCTGTCTCTCTCTCTGTCTTTCTGGTGAGTGCACGCGCCCTATAGCAAAAACCTCTCCAAAAAAAATAAGAGACCCAACACCCACCAGTTCGGAAAAGTCCTTTCCTGTCCCCTCCATGTCCCGCCCATGAAATGTCAGCTCTCCCGTTTAACTTAGCGTGACAGGTAGCTACGATACTGATTGGAAGGGGGAAAATCAAAGGCACAGACAGCCCCCAATCCTATGAGAAGAGACACCTGGTCCGGAGGGACCCCGAAGCCTACCCCAGGGAGATCGGCCGACTTCTCCCCAGGGCCGAGGCCTGCTAATCTGCCCTTGCTATGATCAAGACAGTCATGACCAACACCATGAGGAAGAAGACCCACATGAAGAAGCGGTCTATGACTCTGGCCACCTTCTTCCACTCGCTGCCCTTGGAGTGGGTGGCCTTGTGGTCTCGGAGGCACTTGGCGATGTACTCGATGTTCCGCGTCAGCGCTGCGAACCTGGCACAGGACCCCCCGGCGTCCTCCGGGCTCCCACCCTGGCACCCCAAGTTGTTCTTTACGAGTTCGTGGGAGTCCTTCTTCCCGGAAAGGCCTTTGCCCCGGGCTGCGTTCAGGTTCGACGCGGGGAGTTTGTCATACACCTTGGAGAGGCGGGTCCGCTCCCTCTCGTGGCGGGGGCCGAGGCAGCTCTCGCCCACGTCGTAGACGAACAAGGCCCTGGCCATGTATTTCAGGATGACCACCCGGGCCCAGGGCGGCACCGGCCGGGCCTCAGCCCCGCAGAAGTGGATGTTCATCACCATGATGGTCAGGGCGGTGGAGGCGGTGATCAGAGCCATCGTGGCGATGTAGTACTTGCCTGGAGTTAGAAGGACAACCGTGTCAGCTTGCCAGCTGCCCTCCGCGTGGCTAAGGGGAAGGGACACTCTTCCAGAGAGTGCGATGCCCTCTAGTGGTGGCTGGTGTAGACATCAGAAGCAGACATCCCCGTTTGTCATTCACTAAACCTGTGACCTGGAGTAAGGGGGTGATCATGCAAGCCTCAGCGACCTGGTGTCACCATAGCAACCAACTCACAGGAACAGGAGAGGCTTAATTGAGGGGATACTACAGAGAGTTCTCAGTACTGTCTTTTTCTCCAGGTTAAAAAGTTGGGGCATTGGGACCAGCAGTTAGCATGGTGGTTATGTCACTGAACTCCCATGTAGCCGACCATGGTTCGAGTCCCGGACCCGGTGGCTTAAACTCACGCCAGGCGCGTGTGCATGCATGCTCAAGATCCCGAGAGGAGAATGGAGGAGAAGGGATTGTGGCGTGGCCATCCCCCTGGGGGGGGGGGTGACTTCTCGCTTTCTGTCTCTCTCTCTCTCTCTGCCTTTCTGGTGAGCGCACACGCCCTGTAGCAAAAACCTCCCCCCGCAAAAAAAGTTGGTAAATGTTTGCTGAGATCATGACCGTGAACATCATTTTCACTCTCAACAAACAGTAAACGTGCTCGGGTCTCATCATTGTCTCCACGCCCCATTAATGTTGGAGCCAACCACCGTTGGATAAGAAAGGAGAAGTTGTGTCCCTCTTAGTCATTAAAATGTGATTGCATACATAGTCCAAAAAAAAGGGAAATTAAGGAAGGAAACAATAAAGATAAGACCACAGAATTGTAAAATACGAAACAAAAAACCAAGAGACTGGACAAAACCAAAAGCAAGGTTTTGGAAAGAATAATAAAATTGATAAAGCTTTAATAAAGCCACTCATAGAACAAGAGAAAAGGGGAAACATAGAGAGGGAAAATGAGAAAGAATGCAAAAAAATGTAGTTGAAAAAATAAAATAACATTCTTTTTTTTTTTGAAGAGGTTTTTGCTATAGGGCACATGTGCTCACCAGAAAGACAGAGAGAGACAGAGAGACAGAAAGTGAGAAATCAACCTCCAGGGGGGATGACCAGGCCGCAATCCCTTCTCCATTCTCTTCTCGGGATCCTAGGTACATTTGCACACTCACCTGGCATGAGTTTAAGCCACCGGATCCGGGACTTGAACCACAGTCTACTACATGGGAGTCCAGCGACATAGCCATTACGCCAACTGCTGGTCCCAAATAGCAGTATTAATAGTTGCATAATAATATATTTGTTCATCTAGATAACATTTCTTGAAAAATAAGATGCCAAAGAACATTCGATGAGAAATGGGAACCAATCAAATATCTGGACCCCAAAAATCACTCAAAAGAATTAACAGGTGAGTTTTACAAAACTTTTAAGGCACAGATAATTCATAGTTTATATAAGTTATTCCAGAAATGGCAAAAGGGAAAACCGCCTAGAACATTTTATGAATCAATTCAACCTCGATTCTAAAAGTGACAAGGAAAAAAAAATATATTAAGGCCATTTCACAAATAGGCATTTTTGAGAAAGTCCTATGTAAACATTAGCTAACTCAACAGTGTCTTAAAATGATAATATACCATGATAAAGCAATGTTGGGCCCAGGAATATAAAGTTGAACTTCAGAAATCTATTGACGTAATTTACTGCATTAATGGGTAAAAGAGAAAACGCGGGATTATCTTAATAGATAAAGAAAACACACTTGATAATGTTTATCTACCACTTCTTTTTCTTCTTTTTTTGATTTTTGCCATAGGGCATGTGCACTGGCCAAAGGGAGACAGAGAAAGTGAGAAATCACCCCCCAAGAGGAATGGCCATGCTGCAATCCCTTCTCTTCCATTCTCCTCTCAGGCTTTTAAACGCACATGCACACGTGCCCAGCATGAGTTTCAAGCCACTGGGTCTGGGACTGGAATCACAGTTGGCCACGTGGGAGTCCAATGCTGTAACCACCAGGCCACCTGCTAGCCCCCATTGCCCACTTCTTATTTGTTAGAAAGTATAAATTAACTAGAAATATATGGGACCTTTCTTAATATGATAAAGGCCATAGGCCAGAAATGTACTTCAAAGATCCATTTAATACAGAAAATGTAAACACATTTCTGTAAGATTGGGAGAATATCTTTTTAAGAATTATTTATTGGGAACCAGTAGTTGGCGTAATGGCTATGTCGCTGGACTCCCACGTAGTCGACCGCGGTTCGCGTCCCGGACCTGGTGGCTTAAAACTCACGCCGGGCGCGTGTGCGTGCGTGCCCAAGATCCCGAGAGGAGAATGGAGGAGAAGGGATTGCGGCGTGACCAT